GTTTTGCCTTTCAGAATATAATAAATGATGGGATCATACAGTATGCAGCCCTTTATATGTGGCTTCTTTTACTTAGCATAGTGATGTTTAAGATTTACTAATGTTGTTACGTATGTCAGAGTTCTACGACCTCTTCTAGACCTGAGGGCCCGAACTCATGGGTCGCTGGCACTGGTCTGTGGCCTGTTAGGAACTGGGCCACACAGCAGGAGGTGAGCACAGGCTGATGAGTGAAGTTTCATCTGTATTTTCAGCTGCTCCTCCTCACTGTTGTCACTGCCTGAGCTCCACCTCCTGTCAGTTCAGTAGCGGCATTGGATTCTCATCAGAGCAGGAACACTACTGTAAACTGCACATGTGAGGGATCCAGGTTGTGCTCTCGTTATGAGAATCTAATGCTTGATGATCTGAGGTGGAACTGAGGCAGTCAAGCTAGCACTGCAAATACACATTTTCATTAGCAGAGAGTTTGACTACCAATAAATGTAATGCACTTGAACCACCTGAACCATCCCTAACCCAGCCCATAGAAAAATTGTCTTCCATGAAGCCAGTCTCTGGTGCCAAAAAGGTTAGGGACTGCTGTTCTAGACCACTGAGAAGATAATTAGACAGAGACCAGTACAATCAATACCTTTGGAGCTCTACCTCCAGGTTAATATTCTAACTTTGATTTTGAAATGAAGAGAATTTAAATAATTGAAATAGAGAAAAGAGGTCATTTTCCCCGAGGATAGTCCACTAAATTTGAACTATGTCACCCTGAGTAGAGAAGATGGAAACTTTTGAAGATCCAGAAATATTTAATGATTCTGAATCTAATATTAATGATTTTAGGTTTTCCTTAGGATTCATAAAACATTGACCTTAAAAAATTATGGGAGGGAGGGAAACGGCATTTATTGAAACCTTAAAATCTGTACCCATAATATGCCAAAATAAATTAAAAAATTATCTGGAATGTGTGTGGCTTCAGTGATGTACACACTGAAGGCCTTGACTTTATTTACCACAATGCAATATATCAGTGTAACAAACTTGAACTTTGTTCCTTAATAATAATAATCAATAATACTCATAAATAATACAAATAAAAAAATAAATGGGAAAAAAATTAAAATTTCTGAAGAATGGTGAAAAGTTAATGGTTACCAAAGTTGGTTAATACTTGAGGTTCATTGTATTATGCTTTTTTCTTTTGGTTATTTATAAACTTTATTATACCTTGAAAAATAAGAAAAATACTATATTTTCTAAGTTATAACTGATAAATTGTTTGCTTTCTGAAGTAGCAATAATCTATCAGTGACTTTCACTTTCAGTGGCAAATAAGGGAAGAAGTAAGTTTTTGTACAGTTGATTTTTCTAGTACATTTGTTAATGTTTTGAAAACACATTTCTACTCCATTTGTGCTACCAATATTTTTACAATATAAAAATAATTACTTCACTTAAAATTAGCTTACCAGTTTTGAATTTAAAACTCTGTTGAAAAAACTAAAATATAAATATCAATATTTTAAATTCCTAAGCATTTATAAAATGGTATACATTTTCAAGTCATAAATCACCTCTCTTGTTTGTGAAAATGTTAACCCATCCATGTACTGTGCAAAAAATTGGTGAAATAGCTTTTGTCTTTACTTTCTTATGATGGTAATACCAATGTGTGTGCATTAGTATATATCAAACAAGTGCATATGTCAATTGTAAAAAAAAGTTTTGAATAAATATTAATATGCAATTAATAAATCATTATGAAAAAGTGGTGAATCGAATCTAACTTAAATGACAAAAAAAGCTTCACTCTCCTAGCTATTTTAGTAGGCTTATGTGTTTCTCTAGTTTCCTAACTCTCTCTAAAAATCTATGGTTAGTGTGGGTCCCTTTTGTATTTTAATGGTTGTTTCTAGTTTCATGGTATATAGTAATGACTTATAACTGCCATGAATTTATTGATTACAAGAGTGTTGGTAGAATAGCAGCTACTTTATCTTAAGGTATTGGTAGCTATAAAGTAATAATATGCCTAGCGTCACAGGAGACCAAAAAGAGTTTGTTCGCAAAGTGGCTTGATGCTCTAGAATACTCCCACCAGTCAATGAGATGGAATCATTGTCATAGTGTGTCTTCTATGATCCGATCTTTCATTATTTGCGCTATTTCAGGCCTCTTGAGAACTGTATGCTGACAATTGTGTAATGTGTTATATATATTGTATTGGAATTTCCTCTAGATGATTAATAATGTTGGATAACCACTTCTTCACCATGAACTGTATACTCTGGATTGGCACAATTTGGAAAATAATCCTTCCTCTGTGACAAGTGAGTACATTGTAAAGTCTTTGCCCCTAACTTTAAAAAAAAAAAGCTGATCTTTTTATCTTATCTCTTTTGAGTATGGAGATATTTTTATAATGAATTTATATTTCTAACCATAACCTCTCTGGTTTTGTTAATAATATATTACTACAACTTTTTCTTCCTTCTATATGATGCATGCTCGGGTCGTTCTCACTCTCTGGAATAGTAGCCAACAATTTATTTGTTAATATAGAATTTTTATGGATGGTCGATTGTTCCTATACTCGGGAACTTGTTCAAGTCACGCAACTTATCCCATGTGATACATAGATAGATATAACTGGTAACCTAGATCTCGATTTTGACTTTAGGAGATTGAATAAACTTTTATATCTTATTCTTTCATTCACAAATATTTAAGTATTAACCATTATATGTGTGTGTATGAAATTATAGTCAATTAGTCTTATACATGTAAATAACAACACACACACACACACACTACACACACAACTCTCTCGATGGTTGTGGTTGGTTGGAAAAAAAAAAAAAATTGTTCTATGTAAAAAAATTATTTTGAATTTTTTGTTTGTTTTATACTGGATTATATGGTACATATGATGTGTATATAGTAACAGAACATAAATAAATTGATGAAATATATTTGTCCTTGGTAATTGATAAAACATCTTTGTCACTCACTGTAAGTGAAGTTACTTATGTTCTGATGTTATAATTTAAGTTTTTTTTATTTGAAAGAAACATTTTAAATCTTTCTTTTAAATGCCATTATGTTAAATTATTTTATTTAAATTATATAAATTACTGTGAGGTTTTGTTTCTTTCAGTTTTCTTAACCTTTATATATTCAAGAGTGTTTATATATTTTAAAGAAAAAGCTATGCAATATTTAATTTGTATATGCAAATATATCTTAATTTATAATATATATTTATTCCATAAATTTAATATATAAGTACTCCTCTTCTTTTTAAATTACATATACAATTTTTTGTTTGAACTCGTGATATTTCTACTCTTCTGAATTTTTCTAGGAAACACACATACACACAAACAAAATCTCAACTGAAAGGAATTCTTTTTCTATACAGATTCCAGTTCAATTTTTATATTTAAGGTTTTAAATATTTTCAATCATAGAACAAAAAATTTCGTCTCCCCAAAACTAAGAATATATGCCATGCTGTGTTACCATTCATTATTAAAAAAAACATTCTACACTCTCATATAATTAGCTTTAGATACTAAACTATTTTATGGCTCTGTTATAAGATAAGCAAAGATATTCCCAGAAATGACATTATATGGATTTGATGCTCTTTAATAGCTTGCTATTTATATTTATCCATGAATTTCAATGATTGAATATCTTCCAAGATTCTCAAAACATAAAAATTATAACACACAGACAGAAAAGACAAATTTTAAACCAACCCTCCTCAATTTCTGGATACTTGAGCATATACTTTCTTCTTTCTCATCATTCACTTATTCAGAAATATTTTAAATTCCCCAGGGAGACATCTGTTGCTGATTTGCTCTTGTGAGTTTTTTCTAGGCAGTTGAAAGAGTCAGTGAATTCAAAGTATTACACAGAGCAGGAGATACTAACTTACAGATCCATATGTAATTTAGGGCATGCACATTGGCTGATCTTAAATGTACAGATTTATCCATTTCATCTTTCATAATGTCTTCTTTATTGTACTACATATGGAAATGTCAATGAAAACTATTAAACTAGAAAATACTTTATGAAAGTCATAAAATGTTAGTTTGCATTACATTTCAATCAAGAATTATGGCTAATCTAAAGCACTGTTCATTATCTATTTTTCTAGTTCAGTTCCTGTAATACTTGTTGGACACCCTGTGGGCATCTGAAAGGTCGTTTCCAATATACATCATCAGACATTGGGGTTGAGATGAAACCACCCCCTAGTGGTGATATGATTGTTTCCATACTGAGAAATAGTATATTTTTTTTTAATGCAGTGAAAGTCATAAGAAGAATGCAGAAATTAAAGTGTGAACTCTACTAATAAACAGGAAAAATGTTCTCCTCAATTCTTTGAGACAGGCAAGAAATGACTAAATTTAAATAAGTAACCCTAGTACAACACCAAAAACTACGTGATTTTTTTCAAGTTACTTAGTAGAAAAATACATACTTTTATTTTCCATATGTATGTTTTCAAATAATATTTTCTAAATATTTTAAATTTAGTTATAACTATATTTTTGTTCTCAAAGAGCTTATAATGTAGTTGCAAAGATAGGATAGGTCCCAAATTTACACCAAACATGAATGAGGACGAAGAAATTTAGAAGTTACCATGTTTACCACAAAATGTCAAGATCGCAGAATTTGGAATTTGAGAGCTAAATTCAACTTTTAAGAAATAAATTTACAGTTTTACATACCTTCTCTATAACTGCACGATTTGTACCTCCTACATTACACCATAAAAGAGTAGCATGTGAAGAATTCCAGAACATGAAAAACTAGTTTAAGGATTTTAATTTTAAAAAATGAGTAAGAGATCATTCTTTAAAAAGCTTACATATCATTTTATGCACATTTAAAAAGAAATTAAAAAACAAGAAATGCCAAATTATAGAGAAAAAAAGAAGGTTTTTATAATCATTTTATACAAAAGTGATTTATCTTACCTCTTCTACTAGCTGCTGAAGAGATGGTGATGCTACAGGATGGAGACTTGAGTTACCCCGTATGGGACTATGGAGACTAATATAAGCCACAACATTTTTCTGCAAAACCTTCTTGAAATCCTGAAATCCAAAAAAGGATCTATCTTTAACATAAATAAAAATAACAGATTCTCCATTATTAGTTAAATGTCGAATAAGAAATACTTCATACTTAAAATCATTAAATTTCATAAGTACTTTTTAAAAAGCAATCCCATACTATTTAATAGAGTACACAAAGGTTATAAAAGGATTTTAAATAAAGGCGGTGAGGAATCAGATATAACATATAATAAAAAATGTTAACGCATGTTCCTGACACAAGTCAAATTTTAAGAGAAAATGTTCTTCAAAAGTTAACATAATGTGAGATTACACTACACAGTACAAAATGGAATATTTGCTCCAGTGATTGAATTTAATTTTATACTACTCACTGAATTAGGAACAGACATAAACTATTTCAGTGATTAATAAAACTAACCCTTTTCTTTGAAGCAATGAGCTACTTTTTGCAAAAAGTAACTCAAATAAAGAGCAGAATATGACATAATACAATTGTGACTTTGCAAATATTACTTTAAATAAAACCTGATGCATATTTAGTGTAAGTAGCACAAAATGATTCTGTACAATACTTTTTCACTTCTCTGTTCACCCTTACCCTGCAAAATTGAAGATCACTGATCCTATTAATAAGATACCACCAAGAAGTCTTTCTGTTATTTTCTTGCATGCATTGCACAAATATTAAATGGGTAATTATCATGGCGGCATTTCTGTAGAAATGCCTGAAAATTATGTTATGTCATGTCTTGGGAAAGTATCTTTCTCCTTCTAGCACTATGAAATAAAATCTACAAAGACTTGTATACCTAAAAAGTCAATAATGTTATTATCATTTTATTCTTATTTTTATTATAAATTTATAATTATAAAATCTTATGGGGTACAAAGTGATATTATAGTTTATGAATACAATGTAGAGTAATTAAATCAAACTAGTTAACATATCTATTATATCACCTCAAATATTCAACATTTTTGTGGTGAAACTTTTGAAATTTACTTAGTAATTTTGAAATGTACAATATTATTAAATATATTTACCATGCAGTACAATAGAACTAAAAAAATATATACTCCTTCTGTATCTTGTACTCTTTGACCATCATCTCCCCATTACCCCCAACCCCTCAGTGTGTGGAAGCACCATTCTACACTTGGCTATGGATGAATGCATAAAGAAAATGTGGTATATATACACAATGGAATACTAAGCCTTGAAAAAGAAGGAAATTTTGTCATTTGTGACAACATGGTTAGAATTGGAGAATATTATGTTAAGTGAAATAGGCCCAGCACAGAAAGACAAATACTGCATGTTCTTATTGTTATCCTTATTTTATTTTGAAAATTCAGCTATAACTCTGTTAAAGAGGTGAAAAGATAATCATTTAAAATTAATAAATATTTTAAATGAACATAAGTGATTGATTTTGAACTTGAGTAATTTCTCCATAGTATCACTTAGAAATATTTATTTTACTTGAGTTCTATGAAAAAACAGTTTCTATTTGCACACTACCACATAGAAACTGTCTATATATTAGTTCATGTAATTCTCATGGGAACCACACAAGGTAGGCATTAATGCATGTATTTAAGGAATCAAGTCTTAGAGAAGTTAATCTTTCCAACTATTACATATTTTATGGTAGAAAGGATTTGAACTCTTATTTTTTTGACTCTAAAATCTGTAATAGTTCTACAATAGCCTATGACAAATGAAGATACTTCACAGAAGAAATGATACTTTTTAAAGGAAAGAACTTTTTCAGTAAAATATTATAATTGTCTTCAAGGATCAAGGTTAGTATTGAATCGATTCCCTAATAATTCTGTCATTATACATCCCATTTTTAAGTTCATTGACCATCCTCATCTAATCCTCTTAACTACAACTATGGATTTCCAGAGGTTTCTATGTAAGTAAATTTAAACAGGATAACACGACATGTCAACAAAGGCTTTCCTTGTTCACCTTCATGAGGGAATATATTTAGAGCATAAATTGTTTTCAGTCTAAAAGAAAATGTTTCATTCTCAGAAGGAGTAGATTTGATAAGAGCAGAAAGAATAGGACAACTAACAGTTTTCTAAATTTCTCTTCAACCAGATGGTTATGAAATGGTATTGAGAATTGCATTGAAATAATTTTCTGAGACACAGTAAATACAGAAATATATTTTATAAGCCAATAATCAAATGCACATTATTCACCTTTTTTATTTTTCATGTCTTTTTCCCATCCAGTCATATGAAAAGCCTAAAAGTAACTGAATATATAATCACTTGCCAAGTATGCCTGTATATACAAATATTTGAAGACAGTGGTACCTAATCTTTTTGAGTAAGAATAACCTTTTCTAGCACTTTTTTTTGTGAATTCCCACATTGTAGTAATTGTACTTTTAGTATCTGTTGATTGAGAAAATAGAAAATCACTGAAAGGTACAATTAATTCATTAATTAATTAAAATTAAAAAGGAATTTGTATTTTACCACAAAAATATCACAGAATTTGAAAGAATAGTTGCTCACATACATGCAAGGCCACATTGATTAATACAGGCTTTGATGCTTGATGCTTAGATAAGTTCAAGGCCATTTTGCCATGAAATTTCTTATGCACTGGAATTTAAGATATTTGTTAGGAATTACTAAAGTTAGACAAGTCTACTTTAGAATATAGTTCAGTTCAGAAATACATGTGTTAATTTAGAATTAACATAAATTGTGAAAGTTATGAGATAGGTATCCAGAAAACTATGATATAGTGAAATAAATCTTTGGAATTAATTTGAAAAGAATCTTTAAGACATTTTCTTAATACTTGTTTTTTTGTTACAAGAAAACAAACATTGTTTTATTGTTTCTGAATTACTAACAGCAAGTCCAGATATACTCCCTAACTAATTCTTTGACTTGTTTACCAATCTTTAAAGTAAGTAATTTGAATGAGGGTTTGGTTCAGAAATTATATTTCTATCTTAGTTATAAATTTGTCAATTTAAAAAGGTCCTTTAAGCAATGAAATTTTTTCATTTGAAGTGGTTCTTTTGAATAGAGATCAAACATTCACACTACTAATTTGCATATGGAAAAGCATTCCAATATGCAATGTATGAATCTTGATGAATTTTATACTGAAAATTTTTCTCATCTTTAAGACTATTCTTTCCTTCAAATTAAAAAGTCACTTGCTATTTTCTTGTCTATACCTTTTTGATATTTTCTTTGATATTCAGTAGATAGTTTTTGAGTGCTTAACTAAAAAGTGTAATAGGAGAATTTCCCATTAGATACAAGTTTTTTCCTCAAAAGTAAAGTAGTAACAAAAACTAGAATATTAAATAACTTTACTTTCCTAGTAAATTTGTGTAGATATTTTGATCTGCATATTGCTGTTGAACCTCTTTTGTTTTCATTTTCATTTTTTATTTTTAATTATTTTGGGTACATAATAGTTGTATATATTAATAAGGTACATATGTTTTGATATAGGCATACAATGTATATTAATCAAATCAGGGTAATTGAGGTATTCATTACCTCCTTTAAAAAAAAATAAAAGTGTTAGGTTTTAGTCTGAAATGTTGGTTCTTAGTGCACTCATGACCAAAGAATGACCAGACATGCCAAAGTAAGCCAAGCATAAAAATGAAGTTTATTGTGGAGAGAAAGAGGATTATAGGAAAAGAACAAGATAGAGGTTTACAGAGCATGATACATATCCCACAGATGACAACTGGACCCATTGTCACAGCAAAAGGAGAGCAAGAGGAAGGACAGAAAAAGAGGGGCTGGTTATGGTCTGCATCTTGTTTTATAGTGCCTGGATTGGGACCACCCTTGTGGTTCAGATGTCACCATGGAACCACTTTCAATGAACAGTTGGGAGCTGCATGACCTGAGTCTTACTGCACATGCAGATCTCCCATGAGCCTCTCTGAAAGCCTATTTGGGGGGGGGCGTAAATCAGAGCAACACCCACTTTTATCCCTAGGAGACCCAGAATCCCTTACTATCTACCAAACAAAAGGAAATAGAATATCTAAAAGTTTTACAATGTTTTCATTGTTGTTAATATAGCATCAATGCAATTATCCATACTCATATTCCATTAAAAATACAGTGCATTTGTGAGACACAAACCTACTAGAAGCATTTGAAACTTCAATACTCAAGTTGTTTTCTAACTGTGCCTCATTGCATGCTAGATTGCATATGGACACAGGCTTCTAGGGATGTAGGCAGTAGGTAGACAGATAGGAAACAAAAAGTAGGGAGAGAGGGATGAAGGGATAGAGCAGAAGGAGGAAGGAATGGAGGGAGGGAGGAAGAAAGGTAACTTATTTTAAATCCAATCTCCATATTATATAGACAAAATACATTGCTAGGTAATAAATACTTAATATAGGAGATTGTTCCCTAATTCCAGATAATTCCTAGAAAGATTTTTTAAAAATAAAGGTAATACTATGTATCACTTGATCCTTTCTTGTCCAGTGCCTGCCAACTTGTCTTCTAAGGAGAAAATTACAATAATCAGGTAAAGATTGTGGGTTATATTGTATCAGGGTTTGAAGGTCTGGTAGCAATAGGGATAAGATACTTAAATTATATACAGTTCACTATAGTCTAACTCTTAATTCCTTCCCCCTTATTCTTATAGATGATCTCACCAAATCAACAGATATAACACCCTGGTTGAAAGGCACATTATTGTCTTCAGCTCTAACAATTTTATTTTGTCTACTTTAGTGAAAAAAGAAACATATTGTAATTAATGTATATTTTATTTTACCTCTCCCCATTCATATGAGCCAATATTGCCAAACGCTGTTCCTCCCCATGAGCAGAAAACAATAGTGCGGTCTGGTCTCCACCCTTTCTTAACTTTTAACATCAAGGCCCGAATAAAAGCTGTGATTATTGCAGTGCTGCTGGCCCATTCTTGTCCATTATAACTGTATGCAGTATGATGCTGGCTGCCAACTATAATATACCGGTCTGGAAATAGAAGGGAAAAAGAACCATTAGAACAAAATGTAAACCTTAACAATAAATTTAATGACATTTACATAATCCTATTGTACAACTGAGCAACAATTAAGCAAAATTGTTCTAATAATTAAGACTACTTTAATATTTTTCACTCACCGTCTTGATTCACACATCTGTGTATATCAAAGCAGAAGCAGCTGCTGAACTCAATTATGAATACAAAGCTTAGATCCATAGTACTGTCCCTTACAACATGAATATTAATTAATGAAGTATACAAATATGCCACAATGAAACTCTTATCTAGCATTCTTCCAGAATCATGGTGGGAAGTGCCCTGTAAACAATATGTGTATGCTCAGTAAATATTAATGAACTATTAATACATTTGAGGAAGCAGTTATTCAGTAGCTGTAAATATTAAAAATGTGGTAGTCATGTATGGATTTTGCAATAAATTAAGTGTTTAGGGAATTAATTACAGCCTCTAGTCCCTCTCCTTTCTCTGAAGAAAAGAAATAGAATTCACCAATATCAAAATTCATTCAACTGCTGTAAAAGTTGCCTTTTAACAGATTTTCTTTCATAGAATCATCCAGAATTCATTAGCTACACTATTAGAAAAGTCTCCATGACACATGGGGTGGCCTGTTCAATGTACATTACTGACTTGTCAGTAAAAAGGTAGGTTGGAAATGTATCTCAAGAGTTTTCTTTGATTTGGTTGTCATTGAATGTTATCAGTAATAGTAACAGAGCTAAATTTCTTTGACCAAGTAGCCCTAGCCCCATATACCTGTGTAAAAAGCATTATAGCATTGTGAGATGTCCTATAATTGGATGGTAAAGTATGCAGACTCCGAATCCAGTCTGCTTGGGTTTGAATCCAGGCTTTGAAACTCACTAGTTGTATGACCTTGGGAAGCTTATTCAAACTCTCTCTGACTTAGTTTTTTTTCAACTCTAATATAGAAACACAAATAGTACATTCATTGTTCAATTGTTTTGAGTTTTATGTGAGTTACTATTTGTAAGGCACTTTGAACCGTGCCTGACACAAAGTAGGTCTTACATGTGGAATAAATGAATCATCCCTGTTAACATCAAGAAATTACTACCTTACAAGAATTGTCACGGTGTGAAGCAATTTTAGTTTTCCACACTGATTTTAGAACCAGCAATGGATTTGATCTGCCAATATTTTATCAAGATTTAATTAGTGGTATTCATGGTAGGTCTGCAAATGTTGAAAACCTGAGAATTTACTCATCTCCCAGAAATATCTGAAAGTTCTGCTTGGGATTGTCTTTATTCTAAATAGATCATATCTTAAAAACTTAATACTAATTGATGATTATTTCTAACTTTCAAATTCCTTAAATAAGAAAATCATCTGAACAAACAAGATTTTTGTATATAATTCAAATAAGCAAAATTTGAGAAGCTTTGCATATTATACACTGACTAGTAATGGTAAAATTAGTTTTTTTTTAAAAATCCAAGGTTTTTTAAATAGATTAAAATTTTTTTATCCTAAAGCTAATATAATTTTGTACAACTGGGTTTTCCAATAATAACTTACAAATGTAGCAAAGATGATACATATTCTAGTGCTTCAATTATAGATTCCTGTGATGAAAATTTGTTGAAATGCAATAGTCACAATTTCCAAATTTTTCATATCTTATATTTGAAGACACTGTGATAAGAGGTTAACCAACATTGCAACTGTAAGGAAATCAGAAAGTATAAGTACCTTTCATAAATTTTGTAAGAGTTGGCCAGCAAGAGACTAAGAGGATGTAAAATTTGGTCTCAAAATTCTCTGAGTTAGCAATTAGGTCAATTTTACTAAAGTGATAAAGAAGCATAATTCTCCCAGGAAAATTTGAGTTAATGTACCAACAAAATCAATAGAAATAGCACAAGTGTAATGAAAAACCATTGCACCTATACTGTATAACAGACATATCAGACAGTAGTATATGATTCAGCTTTATATGAATTTAGAAGTGTTATTAACTAACCTTTTTATTAATATATGTGTCAGTTATTTTCACTTTTTTTAGCCTATATAATATCATCTGAAGACTATCAGAGACCCATAACAAGGTATAAAATTATTTAAAATCTATTCAAATGATCATTTTCATAAGCACCTTCAAAACCTAAAGCCATACAAACATTTGGCAGAATTGGCAGTGGACCAATGGTCAGGAATGGGATCTAGATTAAGACTGAAAAATTATATTTTTAGATAAAAACTTATTTTTTCAAAAGCATCATTAAAAACTAAAATATTTCTTTAAAAATGTCTTTTCTTCATAAAAATAAAAATTCCAATGGTGTTGTGATGAATAAAAGAAAAAAAATCGGCTTTTGTAGGACATGCCAGTTTAACAAATCTAAACTGTTTCTTGTTTCATTCACCCCCAATGCCCCCAAACAAACACCTCCTCTACTAAGATTTCTTTTTGAAGAGATGTGGAAGGATTTGAAGAGATAGAAGAGAATACAGACCTAATTCTTAGTTTCATATTTATCTACTCTTAGAGTGGGATAAACTACTGTGACATCTAAAGTGGGATATGTAACTATGATATTAAACAATTATATAGCCTATTTTTGTGCAGTTCCACATAAAATGTAGATTATAAATATTTAACCCTACTTACCTGGAGATGCCAAACCCCTTACATATCCGACAACATTAGTAACCGTTTTGTATTCAGTGACTGTTTGAACTTGCATGCTGACAATTCTTATTTCTGAAAAAATTAAAATTTAAAGATGTTTCTTGATATTCTGTTGTATTTTTTTTAAAAAAAATTAAAATTTATTTCCAATACCATCAGCAAAAGAATTCCACACAGTTGGAATTTTTCCAAATAACCAAAGTTGTACTTTTTTGACATATGTTTATTCAATACTTTGTGCAAACTCTATTTTAAGTGCTTGTTATGCAATGATGACTAAGACACAACTGCTCACCTCATAGAACTGCAGAGCCATAAACAGGCAATTCTGAACCTCACATTGAATGCTGCACTGGGAGTTCAACATGAGAGCACACAGGAGATGTGAGCAACTCATATTTTAGAAGAGGAGAAAAAATAGATAAAAATATTTTCAAAGAATAGTGAACACTTTTCTATCTTCTGAGAAAGAACATGTGGAAGACAATCTAACCTTTCCAGTATGACTCATTGTTATATTAACACTTTAAAAACGAAATAAGCCAGGCACAGTGACTCACACCTATAATCCTAGCACTTTCAGAGACTGAGGTGGGAAGATGGCTTGAGGCTAGGAGTTTGAGACAAGCCTGAACAATAGTTAGATCCTATAGCTACAAAAAAAAAAAAAATAAAAAAAAAAATTAGCCAAGCTTGGAGGCACACCCCTGAGCTATGATGACACCACTGTATTCCACCTTTGGGACAAAGCAATACCTTGTTGCTAAACAAAAAAAAAAAAAAAAAGAGAGAGAAATAAAAGAATGAGTCTTCTTGTTAATATCCTATAGATTCTAACAGTCAATCTATAGGGTTTTTTATCTTTCTTCATTTTCAACGCAGACAATCCCTTACCAAACGATAGTTTGGCTTTGAAATTTGTATAGCTTTTGCTTATTGCTCTTAGCTTATCATTTTGTCTAGTGCTACCAGTGCAGTGTGTAATGGAGGCAAGGATAGTATTTAATTTATGGGTTTTTTTTGTAATAAGCCCTACTTGGTCATGATATATTTTCTATATTTGGTTACTATATTTGGTTTTCTATATTTGGTTTAGAATATATGCATATATAAGTTGATTGGTTGATAATTTTACTTCTCATGGATTCTAGTCTGGTTTTGATACTTGGACTATACAACTGAACAAATACTTTAGGGATTTTTGCTTCTTTTCCTAGAGTTTATGTAGCATGGGGATTACTTATTTTATAAAGCAGTGATAGGATACAATTATAAAATTATCTAGTCCTGGTATTCGTGTGTGTATGCGTGTGTAGGAACAGCATACATTTTCTCTTCCAAAAAAAGAAATCTCTGTAGTGGTTATAAATTCATTCAGATTTTTAACATAAGATTATTTATTTCTTCTAAATAGATTTTCATTTAGTTGTTCATTTTATTCTTACACTTAAAAAATCACTACCATATATCTGTAATTTCGTCCCATTTCTTTCATTAACTTATATCTTTTTTCCTTGCTCAGTTGCTAGAATTTGGCTAATTTATTAATATTTTCACAGAGTCAGTTTTGAAGTTTTTAAATCCTCATTAATTTTTATTTTTCACCTCAAAATTCTATTCTATGTTTATTAATTTCTTTCTTAAATTTTACCTTAATGTACTGCTGTTCTTTACCTAACTTCTTAATTTAAATGCTTTGCTCATTACCTTTCAATCTCTCTCTCTATATATACATCCATTTAAGGCTACAGATTCTCTATGTTAGCTACAGTACACTGATTTTAATATATGGTCTTATTATCTTATAGATTCTAAATTTATACAATTTCTATTATAATTCCTTCTATATTATATGTATTAGTTCAAGGAATTTTTAAATAGCCACATACAAGGTATGATTACTGTTTTGATAATGATATCTAACGTAATTTAATTATGGACAGAGCAAGGACTTATACTACCAATACCTTGATGAGATTTGTTTTATACTACCAATACCTTGGTGAGATTTGTTTTGTGACCCTATAGGTTATTGTATCTGATACATAAAGAATAAATTTTAAAATAAATATTCCATATAAAGATTGTACATTTCTTAATTGATGGGTACAGCATTCTACATACATGTCTAGTAGATCAAACTTGAAAATTGTGTGGCTATAACCTTACTAATGATTCTTTATGTTTTCTTTATTAATTATTAAAACATGTTGGAGTCACATTTTACTTTCAAATAAAATAACATATTAAATTTGTTAATGTATTATGGTAATACTATGAAATTTATCTTTGTGTAATTTTAGACTCATTTGTTAGGTCTATAGAAATGGAGAATTGCTGTATCTTTCTGACTAATTATTACATATATATTTTTTATATCCCAATTTTATTTCCCTAAAGTCTTCTTCTCCTCCTCCCTCATCCACTTGATAGTAACATAATTACTCTATCTTTCTTTTTGGTAGGTATTTCTCTGATATATATTTTCCCAGCATTGTATTTCTTTTTGCCAGGCATCCCAGGGGCATTTCTGGCCTGGGGACAATTTTTATGCTAATTGTTTGGCTTAGAGTTGCTACAGTACAATGGTAGCGAAAAATCTAAGCCAGGGATTTTGATTTCTAAAAGCAGGTGTTTTTTTTTTTTTTTTATCATCCAGAGCTCAAGCAGAAGAAAGCTTTCCTTTACCAGTGGGTAGGTTTCTTTCTACTCTTCCCACTTCCACCCCATGATCCTGGTTTTATATAGAGGTCATAGCTCCAACTCGCTGCCTCCATGGAGACATGACTGCATCTTCTGTCACCACGTGAGTGCTGTCTTCCAACTCTAATTTACGGAGACCCATAACCTTTCAACGTCAGGCAACCACAGAGGCAAATCTTTTGCTTATTTCTCTGATTTTTAATTCTTTTTTCATTTTTGCTTGTGGATATCTGGTTATGTTTGACTTTCTTTTTGATAACTGCCTTTTAAAACAATTTTTCTTTTAATACCTTCAGTGTTCTTAGACATTTACATGGAAGGATTTCAAATTGTTTTATTCTGCTCTGTTCTACATACTGAAATCTAAGACTGTTATTTTTTTTTTTTTAAAAAGCACCGAAGTCTGATAAAATAAACATAACCTTTTGCTCTGGAAAAGATGCTATATTTACATTGCATCCTTCCAACTGACAGAGGATTTCTGTATGTATCACTAGGCAAAGATGAGGTCCAAATAATGACATATTAATATAAAAAAAAGTAACTCTTCATCTATTTATTTACATCCCCACACATATGTTGATCCTGATGTATATTATTTTATATTATTCCATATCCATGTCTGAAAACAAATATGCACAGAGTTTGTTTTCCTTCATTAGGATCAACACCGTGATAATACTTTACATTTTAATAATGACTATCAGTAAAATCTTGAATAAACTTGCACTCTAAAGACACATCCACTGCTGTTGGCTTTCCTAATTTGAACAACCCATTGGCAAGGCAGTATTACTCTTCATAGCAATAACAATAGCAATCTTATACCTGAAAGTTATCCTACAGGAATAATTCAACTCTCTGCAGTGTAATCTATAACAGCAATTACAGAAAACAACACAAATATCCCAAATAAGGATAAAGAAAATTATGATAAAACATGTGGCTGTTAAAATGTGAAAAGAATATGTAGAAACATAGACACATTGTAAGTGAAGAAAACAGAATACAGAGAGATATACATAATGGTTGAGCTTAGGTAAAAATGTGTGTTTTTATGAACAAACTATAAAAAAGGAGAGATTAACAGATGATATAGAATTTGGGTTAGGCAGGGCTTCCCATATCTGCTGGGATGAGGCACTCTTGTAAAGAAGCTTGGCCAAACCCACACTCTGTGCCATTTATTCCTCTCTTCCAAATCCCCAGGGAAGGTGGAATTAAAACTTAAGGAGATTGTCTTCCCCCAGGGCTGCACCTTATGACATTGAATCATTTTATACTCTAAGATCTTTTAGAATTTTTACCTTTGTTTTTTATGCTTTTAAATTTAACTATGAAATTTATAGGTTCTTTTTTCCTGGAAATAGTATTACTTTTTCAACTATTTTCTCTCTTCCATTTCTTCTGTTGCTCTTTCTAGAACTCCTGTTTTTATCCACTATATCATTTAGTTGTACTTTTACGCTTCCCTTATCTTTTTCTGTGGTTCTCTGGAAAAAATTTTTAATCTGATCTTCTAGCTCTTGAATTTATTCTTCACTTCTATCTATCTTTCACTGTATCCATCTATCTATGTTATTTATTGGCATGTTTCTTTCAATTATTCTATTTTCCATACCTATTATTTCTTTTTTTAAAAATGTTTCTTAGTTTTTGTTTTATGTTGCTAATACAATCCATTCTCTTTTTTAATTTGCTTGTAATTCTTATTTTAAATTCATATACTATGTGTTCCAACATAGTTGCTTCAGGTGGTATAAACATTCATTGTGTTAATTTTCTGCTGTGGTGGAGATGGACATCAGGATCTGGGTACTTTGGTCTGGAAGTTTATGTGGCCCAGCAGGGGCTATCAGGGCCCAAGCATGGGGAGGACAGTGTCTGTGTCTGTATGTGTATGTGTGTATGTCTGTATGTGCATGTGTGTGTGTGTGTGTGAAAGCCTGAATATGGGAAGGAAAGCAATTGCGAGGGGCAACAGTGCCATGAGAGAAGTCATTGAAGCACAGTGAGAAGGGCACCTACATTTAAGAACTGAACAACAGATAGTTTTGTAGCCTAAGTAGGGTGAGGAAGTAAACTACATTGGGAAGAGGCAGGTGGAACATTTGACGTAGGGTGAACAACTCATATAAGGTAGTGCCTGGAATGGTTGTTGGAGCCACAGTGGAGTGAGAAGGATATCCTAGTGGAGAAGGGAGTAATGACATCAACTGATTACACACAGGGGAACTGATTACCTAAGTAAATGTTAAATATTTAGCACAATGAGAAGCAGATTTCTGACTGTCAGAGAAGGGATTTACAAACATGGAAAGAAAAAAATAACTAGGAGTTGAAATGTTGTCATGTTTTTAATATATACG